GGGACACAAAGGCACAGTATGTCTGAGCTGGTACTAGGAGTGCAGTTTGTCACCCAGCAAGGCTCTTGTGGCGTCCCCGTGAATGGAGAACCTCCAGTTAGAAACACCAGGGTGGACATGGGCCGAAAGCTGGAGCTCAGGTGATGGGGAAATTTGTGTGTACTGGATAGACTCTGGCGTGGCTGGAGGTTGGTCAGACGTAACTCCAGATGTGCCTGTGAGGGTGTCTAGATAAAATGGTGCAAAACAGATGTTCCTCCCCTGTAACTGGCCTTGCCCGGTCATATGGAATCATGAATGACATAGAAGGCCTCCCTCCCGGGTGACCGAGAGTCCTAAGTGACTGTGGGGCCAGGACCTCATCTGCTCTAAGCCTTGCCTAGGCCCTCTGGGTCTCCTGCAGAAGCTGCAGATCTAGGACAGCTCAGCCAGAGACTGTCTGCATTGAGTCCTCACATGGAACCCTATGCACACGGACATCCTTTTTCTGGGGAACTCTAACTGGCCCAAAGACCGCTAAGCCCTCAGCCTGCCAGAAGGTGGCAGGGCTTTGTGTTTGCTGGAGCGTATCTGCGCGGCAGACACTTCTGTCACCTGCTTTCCAGGCTGCGCAGGAACAACCCCAGTGAATTCGAAGCTGAGATCCCAGGCATGAAATCCATAGCTCATTAAACGAGCTTTAATTTAATCATGTGACCAAAAGGAAATACTGGCTGGCACAGTCACACAGCTCAGCGCCAAAGGAAATGATGGAGTTTTGAAAAGCACCCGGCACCCCATGGGCCTTCTACAGCGACAGGCTGTTCTCAGGCAGGCTGGCAAGGACAGCCCGTCCCCGCTGTGCGCCAAGGCCCAGGCAGGCGCTCAGCTCTGTCTCCAGGCAACACAGCAGCCACCGCCACGGAGAAGGAACTTTGCAGCTCTCCGTTGGCATAAATTTGTCTCTGCACCATCTCTCCACACATTTGAATCGCTCAAAAGAGAAACTGCAACGTACCATCCTGGCCCAAAGCCTGCCCCTGTGCGTTTCCTACCAACAAGAGCGCCTTCAACCCCAGAGAAGAGCACACTTCCATGGTTAGCTCTGGACCCTGTGTGTACAATTCTCAGACGTCATCTACTTCCAAACGATTCCATAGTAATGGGGGACAGTCATTGTCAGGGCCTGGGTTGGCTATAAGTTCTTTTAGCACTACTGTTCTGGGGATCCCTAAGGGCTCCGATATTATGTAGCTATCTCCTCCCAATTGAAACATTCTCTCCTAGAGTGGGGAGGCAGGCTAATAAGATTCAGGAAGTAGCTTACTTACAAGGCCCAAGAAGCTCCTGAAATTTACAGGACTCACTAAATTCCTTCCCAAAGTTATGTAAGATTGGTGATTGCTTGAGAGAGGAGATTCTCTGATTGGTCAAGCTACCTATAAATTTTCCCCTTATTTTTATTTTATGCATATGGGTGTTTTGCTTGCACCATACATGTATGCACATGCATACAGTGTCTTCAGAGGCCAGAACGTGTCTGGTCCCCTGGGATAAGGCATTACAGATGGTTGTGATCTGTCATGTGAGTGTTGGGAATTGGAGCTCAGATCCCCTGGAAGAGCAGCTAAGTGCTCTTACCTGCTGAATCAGCTTCTCAACTCCCAAGGCTGTCCATAATCGAGGCAAGGAGCCCCAGGGATGCAGCTTTCCTCAGTCCTCACCCATGCTGGTTTTTGTGACACTCTTCTTACACTCAGTATAATATCCTCAGGTCTACCCACTTGGTGACTGGTGACAGAACTTTCGTTGTTCCTAAGAAGGTGGAGAGCTCTGGAGATGGGTAGGTAAAAGCCACACACCAGTGAACTTGTGTAGCACCATTGCTGTGTGCTAGAATTGCAAGACTGCAAGTTTTATGTATGCTTTACTAAAATCAAAGCAGCTGGCAGGATATAAGGCTTCTTCTTCCTGGGAGATGGTCACGCCATCGCCAGTTATGTGGCACCTCATGCATGTAGAGGACAGACATCTCCTAAGTGCTCCACCCTGAGCCCTTACCTCTGACCATTGCACACTAGAGACCTCAGAGGGCCAATCTGTGCAGCTTCCGGATCAAGCTCTCCTAAGGGGTACCACAGGACAAGGTGTAGGGGGAGTTAGGGATTCCCACTGCCTAACCCACACAGTCTGAGAGAGCTCTGTCTACCCAGAACCCTCTCACAGGTAGACCTTACACAACGGGCCACAACTACTTTCCACAGGAACTAATGTCTCAGTAGCAAACCTGAAAGCGCTGGCAAGCGAGTGAGATTCATGCTCATGTAGTCTCAGTATGCTGAGCATCCGGGCCCAAGCCACAGGCTAAAGAACTTATTCTGATCACACGGAAGCCATGGTTTTACCATGAGGGTGATCGGCTGCTATTTGGGTATGCTGAGCAGAGAGCAATTTTCCGGACGAGCTATTGACATTTCATGGCTTCCCCACATCCCAGGTGGAGGAGAGAAGGAATTTGCCAAGCTTGTTTCAACCAGACCACTGGAAGCTGTCTGGTGTCCATTTTGTCACTAACATGCCAGAGAGCAGATGTCAAAACATCCTAGGGTCTCTAAGACAGATTCAGGAGAAGCATCTTTTTACAGCCATCTATTGCCAACAGCTTTCCAAAGAGACTGTAGAGGCCACACTGTAGCAATGTGGACATGCCTTGGCAAGCCGCCTCTCTCCAAAGGTCACCACTTTGTAACTGTAACTTGTCGAAGACTATTAGGTTGACAACATAAAGATGTGTTACATTTGTTTACGCTGTGGACGATTACTTTAACTGTGTAAAGCTGTGTTACTTTTGTTTACGCTGTGGACGATTACTTTAGCTGTGGACGATTACTTTAACTGTGTAAAGCTGTGTTACTTTTGTTTACGCTGTGGACGATTACTTTAGCTGTGTAAAGGTGTGTTACTTTTGTTTACGCTGTGGACGATTACTTTAACTGTGTAAAGGTGTGTTACTTTTGTTTACGCTGTGGACGATTACTTTAACTGTGTAAAGGTGTGTTACTTTTGTTTACGCTGCACTTATTTAACCGTGTAAGAATGTGTGCTTAGTTATGTAAAAATGGGTGGCATTTGCTTCACCTTGCCTGCCTAAGGCACCTGATTGGTTTAATAAAAGGTCAAATGGTCAGTGTGAGGCAGGGGAAAGGATAGGCAGGGCTGCAAGTGGGAGAGAATAAATAGGAGGAGAAATCCTGACTCAAAAAGAGAAGGAAGAAGAACAAGAGGGAGAAGGAGGAGGAGAGAATGAGAGAGATGGCCTAGGGCAAAAAGTCAGGCAGCCTCCAGTCAGTAGACAAGAGAAGCAGTGAAGGTAAGAAATACAGAAGGAAAAAGAAACCCTGAGGCAAAATGTAGGCAAAGAGAAACAGGTTAATTTGAGTTAAAAGAGCTAGCCAGAAAGATGCCTAAGCCAGGCTGAGCATTCAAAACTAAGTCTCCATATCATGACTTGGGAGCTGGTCAGTGCCCCCCACCCCCAAAGCCCGGCACAGAAACTGAATTAGGAAGATGGTGTTTGGAAGTGCACATTGGTGGAGGACAGGGAGGTGAGCAGTATTTCTAGAGGACCCAGGGCTTGGGTCCCCAGATCTGTCGTCACTCGCTGAGGCACTTAACTTCTGTTCCCCAATCTTTCACAAATACTTTCATCCTGAGTAAGATATGGAATTACTACCACGAAAATCCAACACTTTGAATACCCCCCACCCCCACCTCCATGGTGTAAGCAGGTGAACGTGTTACCTGAGCCAAACTTCATGCCTCAAGTATCATCTTAGAAGCAGAACCAGAAACTCATGACTACTTAACATGACTGAGATGGTCAGGCTCGGGACAACCAATAACGAAGGAAGCCAAACCAGTTTTCTTAACTGTACCTTTAAGTTTAATTTGCAGTCAGGGCTGCCATGCTCTTGGTCAGTTCGGTTTCTTAGAATGAGTTATCCCATTAGGTGGGCACTGGGCATGGCTAGGGACACTACAGGACTCCAAGGAGTAGCCCAAGAGCCCTGTGCAACGGAGGGCGTGTCTGCTCGGGGGACAGAAAGGTGTCAAAAGAAGGGCGGGAAGGACTTGGAGCAGCACTCAGCTAAGTTCGAATGTAGAATGCCCTCTTCTGCAGGAATCCCAACACCCCCAACACAGACCCTAGTCTGCTACATAATGTCTTTCCCCCGCTCTTTCCAGAACTTTCCACCATGATCAATGAGGATAAAGGCTGTTAAGGTGGTTTGTTTTGTATCTCCTCTGGCCTGTCATGAGAACTGGCTGACCACAGACAACAGACCAGTTCCCATGCTGGGACTCTAGGATTGGTGGACAAGACAGAGAGCAGAGGGCAGGAAACAGATCCCTCAAAAGGATCAGAATCTCGTTTCTCCATACAGGGCCTCTAACCCTGGGATATCCAAAATCGACCCGTACTAGCCTCCATTCCAGTGGTTCTCAATGTGCCGGTTGCGACCCCTTTGGGGGAATCGAACGACCCTTCCACAGGGGTGACATATCAGACTCATAACAGTAGCAAAAGTATAGTTATGAAATAAAAATAAAATAGGGTTCCCCAACATGAGGAACTGTATTAAAGGGTCACAGCACTAGGAGGGTTGAGAACCGCTGTTGTAGATCCTTAAGACACGGGTATTTTTTTAGCTCTACTTTGTCTAGACTTTGTAGGTATTACCTGCTGAGTTATTGGAGATGCAGAGGGGGGCCCAGGATAAAAGCTGTGGGTCCATGTTCTGAAACTTAATGCAGTTTGGGGCCTCATCGGACCCTCACTCCTGACCTGGCATGTGGTGGAGCCAGCCAGGGCAGGGGGCATAGAGGACAGCCATAACTAGAAATCGGCATGCACCCTCTAAATCGCTACACCCCACCAGATGTGGCCTTTTGTCCACTCCTCCATGATTCTGGTTCCCCCTCTGTCCCACCCTTGCCCTGAAGCCCATGCCCACACTTACCCGTTCCTCTTCTGCTCGGATGTCAGGCATGGTGCTCAGACACAAGCCGACGGCTGTGACCGCCACGAAGGCCACGGAGACATAGGCGAAGAGCTTGCCTGCCAGCCCGGAGTGCGGGTTCTCCACCACATCGCGCAGGCGCCGTCGGCCTCGCTCCAGCCGCCCGGTCCCCAGGGCACGCACCGGGCTCCCCGGGGGCCCGCGGCTGGGTGGCCCGGAGCTCGCCTCGGCGGCCTCTTCCTCGCGGCGGCGCAGGCGACGCAGGCAGCAGCGCTCCAGCCGCGCCTCGTCGATGCCCCAGTAGGCCAGCTCGTCGCGGAAGGCCAGGGCGCACGGGCCCCGCAGCAGCCGCAGCTTGCCGGCGCGCAGCAGCGCCACGATGGCGCGGAAAGCGCACGGGCTGCGGTCGAAGAAGAACTCGTCGCGGCTCACGTCGTAGTCGTCACACACGCGCAGCAGCTCGTCGTGGCCGCGGCAGGCTCGCAGGCGCTCGAGGCGTGCCAGGGGACAGCGGGCCAGCGCGGCCCAGGCCAGCCGCACCCGGCAGCCCCCGACGTTGATAATGACGTGTCGCGCTCGGGCCGCTCGACTGCCTCGACCTCCCCGGCCTGTGCTGCCAGGCTCTGGGCCGGGGACCTCCGGGTGCCCCGGGAGCCGGGCCATGGCCCCATATGCCGGCTGCTGTCAGGAGACTGGGCCTGTAAGAAGGATCCGAGTGTTAGAACTGACGGCAGAGTAGCCGGCCTTGCCAAGGATCTAGGTTTCTGGGACCAGGAGCTCCTCCCTATCCCAGGTCCACCTCTGGCACACTTGCAAGCTCCACCTTAACCAGACTTGGGATTCCCTCAAACTCTCCTTAGGACTCCTTACCTTACTTCATCTCCTAGAGGGCAGGAACATATAAAACTTCCCAAGCAAGGAGGGGTCATAGATGGAAAGGGTTCAAGAAACCCTAGATTCTTAACAGAGTTTGTGCTATGTATCTGGTAGCAGACGTCTCTCAAAACCCAGGTCTGGTCTGCCCTGAGCTGATCAGTATTTAAAAAGCGAGCGTCTACCCCGCCCTTCAACAAAGGAGGAAAATAGAGGTGGGGTGGGGCTTGTCATAAATTAGAAACAGGCTTCTGAAATTCCAGCAAATGCGCCGCGTGTACACTGCTCTGGACCGGATTTAAAGGAACCAATTATAAAAAAAGACATTTAAAGCCAAATGAGAAACACTGAGCACAACGTAGGAACGAAAAGAAAATGTAAAGATATGATAATTGTGTAGGAGAAACCGGGGCAGTTTTTCTTAGAGGTCCTGCCTGCTTATTCACAGGGGACGGGGCGGGGGAGTGTCCCGGGACACCGGTGGTCGCAGAGGAAGCTGCCTATATCTTACAGTCGTTTACAGGCCTTGCTAGGCTTTATGCAGCTTTGACATCGCCGTGATGGCAGTGGTCTGCTCTGCTTGGAACAAAGCTTCCAGGTAATTTTGCAGCACAGCTGGGGTTGAGAAACACCAATCAATCAAGAAGGACGGAAACCCACGGCGCTTGATTTTTCTGCCAGCCTTGATTTCTAAGTCAAAGGAACTGTTTGGTACCCATAGAAATTTCTTTAGATGGTCTTTGAGCCTTCTAGGTTTCTATGCCAACTGTTTGGCATACACAATTTTTTTTTCTTTCCTGCACTGGGCTCACTTTTCCTAGAGGATGCTATATAAAAAGGTGGTGGTGGGCAACATTACTAACATCCAAGATTTGGACTGCACGGAGGAGTCTGCTCTTCATCCCAGAGGACTCCCCACCCCCTCCAATGTACTGGTTACAGCTGGAAAGGCGAGGCCAGAGGTTCAGCAGAGGCTCGTAGAGCTGTGGCAACAGCAGCAAGAGTAGGGCTGACAGGCAAGTTGGTTCAGGTTGGAGCAACCTGCCATTGAGGACACTCTGGATATCTGTTGGGGGACCGCTCCTCCCCACTGTTCTCACGGTAACAGCCAGACAAATGATAATTGTCAGCGCACATACCAGGAACGAATTTTCTTAGCCCCAACCTTAGTACCCTATGTACAATAAAGCACTCCAAAATCCAGCCTTCAGGTAATGAAAAACATGTAAAAACTTTTAGAGCCAACTTTTGTGGAGCTTTGGGACTAACCAAAACTATCAGTGACCATGAGGACCTTCAGAGAAGGCAACTGAATCTTGATAACAATGACATTTTGCAGCAACTGGACTTACCCTGTGTCTACACTACTCCAGTTTAGGGAATTCACCCCACATCCACCCCACATCCACCCCTGACCTCAGCATGGGGCACTCACCCCAAATCTACCCTCTGATCTCAGGTGCAGGGGGCTCACCCTACCTCCACCCCTGATCTCAGCATGGGGTTCTCACCCCACATTCACCCTCTGATCTCAGCGTGGAGGACTCATCTTGTCAATGTCTAGTTCAGAGAACTCACTTTGTCCATCCCATGCTCCCAGCTCAACAGTGTCCTTGAAAAAACACAGCCTGTACCACCAACGACACCAGCGCCGGTACTGGAAGAACACACTGGTATCACCAGGGGTCCCCATTCCCTGAAGCTCCTTCCAAGTTCCAGGAAGACCGACCCAAAGGCTTTGCCGTTATCTCCCACACCAGAAACCTGCCTGGTGCCAACACAGCTAGCTTAAGACTGTCTGTCAAAGCCATTCGTTGGCGGACATTTTAGCCGTTACTGCCTGAGGCAATGGAAACAAGCAAGAGCTTTTGAGGACAGGCTGGACCTGCGGTGCCTGGGGAACAAGGAGTTGGAAAATGCTTTGGGATTCAGGGCGCCACACATACGCTTGCGTGTTTACTCAGTAAATATCAGAGAAGCCTCCGGTGCTTTCCGGGGCCAACCGTTAGGCACGGAAACAGGTGACCAGGGGAGTTCTACAGGCTGCCTGACTGCTGGCAAGATCCCGGCTCACACAGCCCATCTGCCCAGACTGGGTTTGCTTTGTCTGCGAACAGAGACACTATGGCCAGGTAAGACAAGGCAAGGCATACAGACGGCACAAGATCGATGCTTTAAGTAAACTATGGGCTGTACAAACAAACACCAGTGACTGTGACAAATCGCTGAGTGGGGACCAGATTTCCAGAGCTGCCACTTACACTGTTCAACATGTCCAGTTTCCAACAGCACCAATTTACAAAGAAAATGAAGACTGAAGAAGATATGGCCGCCACGCAGGAAAAGGACAGCTAAAAGGAGCTGTCCCTAAGGAAACCGGTACAGCAGCAGCTTCACCAGATAAGATTAAATAAACTAAATATGTTCAAGAGATAGCCCAGGGTGATGATGCAAGCCTGTAATTCCAGCACGTGGGAAACTGATTGTGAGCCACGAGTTTGAGGCTGGCCTTGGCTACAAAGTAAGTTTCGGGTCCTCTTGGGCTACAGTGTGAGATCCTGTCTCAAAAACAAAAATCAACAGACAAAAAAAAAAAAAAAAAAGTTAAAGGAAGCTATGCCCTGAAACCTAAAGAAATTTATGAGAATGACCATCCAAGCAGTACCAATAAGGAGACAGAAATTATAAAAAAGAAGCAAGAGAATTCTGGAGCTGAAGAGTGTAATAAATAAGACCACAAGCTGTAGAACCGATCAGCCTTAGATAGCGTCAAAAGGTTGTGGGATATTCCTGCACTGGGTGAAGATATATTGCTGTGATTGGTTTAATAAAGAGCTGAGGGGCCAACAGCTAGTATAGGGCGGGACTTCCAGGCAGAGAGAGAGGAAGTAGGAGATGAATGAAGGTGAGCAAGACGCCTTTGCCATCTAGACGCAGAACTAGTAGGACTCACAAAATGGGAGAGAGGTAAAAGCCATGGTAGAATGTAGATTAATAAAAATATGGGTTAATTTAAGTTATAAGAGCTAGTGGGACAAGTCTAGCTAAGGCTGAGCTTTCATAGTCAATAAGTCTCTGTGATATTTGTGAGCAAAAACAAGTTCCACGAGAGCGCCCCCTTAAGGCGAAGAGAGGGAACTGAAGAATGGGAAGCAGGGTTGCCTGCAGGAAGCCAAGACATCCCAAAAGTGGGGGGGGGGGGGGGAGGCGAAGAGAATGCTTGGGAAAACGCTTAAAAAACAAAATCCCTAAAACTGAGAGTCAGCATTCTTATAGGATGCGATCTCTGAGAAAAGGCCCAGCACCCATTTGCATACAGGCAGTACTAAGTGGACGTGCAGGGTTTAAAAACACACACACATAAAATTGGGAAGGGAGAATAGTGGTTATTGGGATAGAGGAGGAGTTGGAGGGGAGGGAATGGGAGATGGACTTGAACAAGACACATTATATGTTTATGAAATTCTCATAACTATAAAAATATCCCCACATTTAAAGAAAACCATTTTTTCTGTGCCTCAAGAAACTCCAAGCCGGATAAATCCAGAGGCCCATAATGGCATAGCTCACATTAACTATCTAAAGACAGTGTACAAGAGTGTTTGGAAAGCAGTGAGAGAGGCCACTTGTTATTCATCCAAGGGATCTTCGTTAGGGCAAACTGTCAGCGGTCCAGCAGATGCCCTGAGGCCAGCAGATGGAGGAGTGGCCCGCATCACACAGAGAGATGCCACTTTGTTTAGTTATAGCTAAATAAGGCGAGCTGTGGAAGTAGCTCAGAGGACAAGCCACGCTGTGGAAGTCGCAAAGTACCGTCCACGCATTGTAAAAACACTGACCCACATACTTTCCAGCGATTAAAACAGGAAGAGTAACTCTGTGAGATTTTATTTCCACTGGGAAGCGCCCAGAGTGAGGAGGTCCAGGTGAAATGCAGTGCCGGGCACGTGCATTTGCACATAAGATCGAGGACCTGAGTTCAGTCGAGCACGCATGTAAAAGCCAGAGGCACAGTGATGAGCGCTTCCAACCCCAGGTCTGAGAAGGCAGAGACAGGTTGGTCTTTGGGGTTCCCTGGAGCCAGCCTAGATGAACTGGTGAGCCCCAGGTCCCAATAAGAGACGCCATCTCAAAAGCCTAGGTGGGCAGCTCCTGAAGAATGACACCTGAGGTTGACCTCCGGCCTCCACACGTATGTACACATATGTGCACATGCACGAAAACACATACAGTTACACACAGAACAGATGGTAAAAACAAATGTCGGGGAAGACGTGGAAACACTAGAATCTCCCACGTGGTGGGGAAACCACACAGCATGGCCCACAGCAAACAGTTGGCGGTGTCCCCAAGATCAGGCAGCGTCACCTCACCACATGACTCAGCGACTGCCTCCTACATCAGTACCCGGGAGAAATGAATACATATATCTAGATGAAAAGGTGTATTTACATGCTTATAGAAGCTGGCACCTCTATACACCGACATGGTATTGAGACAAAAGCCATGAAGTACTCCGATCACACGGACAAAACTTGGACGTGTTGTGCCACCTGTAAAAGGTTGTATAGCATGAACCCACTGATATGAAATGGGTGTGGTCAGTCACAGACGCGGAAGTTAACAGCTGCCCAGTGGGGGAGAGGTAACGAGCACAAGCATTCTGTAGGCCCAGATTCCTGCTGGTGCCATGACAGTGGTCCGAAAGCACACAGTGGCGATGATTCTACAACATTTTTAATGTGGTTTTGAAAACCCAGCAAGCTGCGTACTTTAAAATGGTTGAAACAGTAAGTACAATGCTATGCGATTTCATCTCAGTCGG